GAAATACATAGAGACTCTATGGGCTGGGTGTGGTGGCCCACTGCTATAATAGCAGTACTTTAGAAGGCTGAGGCAGGCCAGGTGTGATGGCTCACAGCTTTGGGAGGCCGAGGCTGGCATATCACCTGAGGTCAGGAGTTCGAGACCAGCCTGGCCAACATAATGAGCCCTCGTCTCTACTAAAAATACAAAAATTAGCCAGGCATGGTGGTACACACCTGTAATCCCAGCTACTTGGGAGGCTGAGGCACAAGAATCACTGGAACTGGGAGGCAGAGGTTACAGTGAGCAGAGATCACACCACTGCACTCCAGCCTGGGCAATAAGTGAGACTCTGTCTCAAAAAAAAAAAAAAAAAAAAAAAAAAAAGCAGTGTGGAGCAAAAGCTAGGGAGTGAAAGGAGACCCCAGATCTTTTTTTTTTTTTTTTTTTTTTTTTTTTTTTTTTTTTTGTGAGACGGAGTTTCGCTCTTGTTACCCAGGCTGGAGTACAATGGCGCGATCTCGGCTCACCGCAACCTCCGCCTCCTGAGTTCAGGCCATTCTCCTGCCTCAGCCTCCTGAGTAGCTGGGATTACAGGCACGCGCCACCATGCCCAGCTAATTTTTTGTATTTTTAGTAGAGACGGGGTTTCACCATGTTGACCAGGATGGTCTCAATCTCTTGACCTTGTGATCCACCCGCCTCGGCCTCCCAAAGTGCTGGGATTACTGGCTTGAGCCACCGCGCCCGGCAAGACCCCAGATCTTTGGATAATTTGACAGAATTACAAAATTACCCTGAAGGGAAGAATCTTAGACAATGACTTATTTCCTATCTGTTTCTCTTCCATCTCCTCAACTGTACCTTTCTAAGTTCATGCTTTCTCGTAAGAAGCTGCAAACCTCACAGTGGTCCTCGCAACAGGCGGCCACATGTGTGGTAGAACATTTTCATAGCGTATTGTATTTTATTTATTTATTTATTTTTATTATTGTTTTCAAGACGGAGTCTCACTTTGTCAACCAGGCTGGAATGCAGTGGCCTGATCTTGACTCACTGCAACCGCCACCTCCCAGGTTCAAGCAATTCTCCTGCCTCAGCCTCCCGAATAGTTGGGATTACAGGAGGCTGCCACCATGCCTGGCTAATTTGTTGTATCTTAGTAGAGACAGGGTTTCACCACGTTGGCCAGGCTGGTTTCAAACTCCTGACCTCAGGCGATCCGCCTGCCTCGGCTTCTGTAAGTGCTGAGATTACAGGCATGAGCCACCATGCCTGGCTGTGATAGTGTATTTTAAGTGCTACTTATTTTGTGTAGATTTTGCATCTATGCCATATATACGGGATAATCGGCATCATAAGCATCACCTTTGAATTATTAAGGATGATATAGACTCATTTTCCTGAATGTTAGATGTGGATGAGAGGTTTACAAAAGAGCTAGTAAAATGATCAAGGAGAAATGATAGTGGAAGTCTTGGTATAAGGAAAAATACAGGAAGAGTAACAGAGGAAGGAGAGAGTGGTGGGGAAGAGCAGACAGATGAGCTGGTTTTCAGGAAAACAAATGGAGGTGAAAGAAGAGAGGGGATAAGTGTGAAATAAGGTATTGTCCATAGACATTTTGGATTTCCAGAAAAATGGAAGGAATCAAAGATGGTGATGAGACAAAACATACCATAAGAGGCCATGCGCGGTGACTCACGCCTGCAATCCCAGCACTTTGGGAGACCGAGGCAGGCAGATCACTTGAGGTCAGGAGTGTGAGACCAGCCTGGCCAACATGGTGAAACCCTGTCTCCACTAAAAATACAAAAAGAAAAAAAAATTAGACAGGACTTGTGGCATATGCTTGTAATCCCAGCTAGTCGGGAGGCTGAAGCAGGAGAATTGCTTGAATCCAGGAAGCAGAGGTTGCGGTGAGCCAAGATCGCACCATTGCACTCCAGCCTGGGCGACAGAGTGACTGTGTCTCAAAGAACCCCCCAAAACAAAACAACCCCCCACCAAAAAACATACCATAAGAATGGTCAGATATGTAAACTACTGAAAGAATAAGTAGGGACAAATTCTTCTTGGAGAAAGTCTTCTGAGAATTATTTAAATAATAAGGAAATAGGCCAGGCATGGTGGAGTGCCTGTAATCAAACCTATAATCACCACACTTTGGGGAGGCCGAGGCGGGTGGATCACCAGAGGTCAGGGGTTCGAGACCAGCCTGGCCTACATGATGAAACCCCATCTCTACTAAAAATACAAAGAAAATTAGCTGGACCTGCTGGCAGGTGCCTGTAGTCCCAGCTGCCTGGGAGGCTGAGGCAGGAGAATTGCTTGAGCCCAGGAGGCAGAGGTTGCAGTAAGCCAAGATGGCGCCATTGCACTCCAGCCTGGGCAACAGAGTGAGACTCCATCAAAAAAAAAAAAAAAAAAAAAAAATAGAAAGAAAGAAAAGAAACAATGAGACATGAAGAGGTCCTGAGCATAACCCCGGATGCTGCTGAGGAAAGGAGAGAGTGGGCATGAGTAGCAATGACCCAGGAAGTTAGACAGTAATCAAGCCTTGGATGAGGGTAGTGTATCCAGGGCTCACTGTCTGATTTTTACAGGGTTCATACATTTCCAATGTACACTCCTACAGAGGTTTTACATAGAAAATAGAGGGAAAAATAAAGTTATTATCACAAGGGCTAATGTGTGTGTATTTTTATTTATTTGTTTATTGAGACGGAATCTCAGTCTGTCGCCGAGGCTGGAGTGCAGTGGTGTGATCACTGCTCACTGCAGCCTAGACCTCCTGTGCTCAAGCGATCCTCCCACCTCAGCCTCCCAATTAGCTGAGAGCCCTTAGCCCCTCCAGTAGCTGGGACTGCAGGCACAAGCCACCACGCTCAGCTGATTTTTGCTGTTGTTGTAGAGACAAGGTCTTGTTATGCTGCTCAGGCTGATCTCTAACTCCTGGGCTTAAGCATCCTCCCGTCAAGGCCTTCCAAAGTGTGGGGAGTACATGCATGAGCCACCACACCCCTCCTTTTCTCTTTTTTAAAATGAGAGAGATCAGAAACCAGAACCACCCCTTCCCAAACTGTGAAACACCCCTAACATTCCTGCTGACCTGTGTTGGCTAGTAGTAGTTTAATATATTTTGCTTCATTGTCTGGTCATGTTTTAGCCCACGAGTATCACTTCCCCTTGCACAGATCAGCAGAACGTTCTTTTGCAAAGGGCATTGTCAAATGAAAGTCTTAGCACAGAAAACCCAAAGTTGCATACGTATGAAAACAGTTGCCAGATGACATCTAGAGAAATAGAAACGTGGAAATGGGGAAGGAAAAAGAAATGAAACAAAAGTGATCTTAAGAAATTTGAAATTCCTCGAAGCCTTAATATATATTCTTCATTTTAAGTTATTGGCAAAACCCAGCCGAGTTTCTGAGTGGGAACTACAAAGAGGGAAAACAAGAGGATCTGATATGAGAAATGCCTTTGCCAAAATGTGAGTACCATCTCTGAGAACTCAGAGAGTTGACACGTGAAGATGTGTTGCTAATTTTCCACATTTGATATAGAAGATAAAATAAAATATGTTGGGAAGGGATGAACGGATTTACAGCTAGAGCTAGTAAAATGTGGATTTTGGTCGGCTGGCATTCATTCACACAGTTACTCATTCAGCAAGTCTGTATTCACTTCTCAAAAGAAGACACACACGCAGCCAAGAAGCAGATGAGAAAATGCTCAGTATCACTCATCATCAGGGAAATGCAAGTCCAAACCCAGTGACATACCACCTCACACCAGTCAGATCGGCTGTTATTTAAAAGTTGAAAAAATAGCATGCTGGAGAGGTTGTGCAGGAAAGAGAATGTGTATATGCTGCTATTGGGAAGATAAACAGTTCAGCCACGGTGGAAAGCAGTGTGGGGATTTCTCGAAGAACTTTAAATAGAGCTACCATTTGACCCAGCAATTCCATTATTGGATATATACTCACAGGAATGTAAATCACTCTCCTGTAAGGACACGTGCAAGCCTGTGTTCATTTTAGCACGATTTACAACAGCAGACACGGAATCAACACAAAAGCACATCGATGGTGGACTGGATATAGAAAATATGGTACATAAGCATATGGAATACTACACAGTCATGAAAAAGAAGGAGATCATGGCCTCTGCAGCAACATGGGCGGAGCTGGAGGCCTTATCTTAAGTGAATTAACACAGGAACAGAAAACCAAGTACTGCTGGGTGCCGTGGCTCACACCTGTAATCCCAGCATTTTAGGGGGCCAAGGTGAGTGGATCACCTGAGGTCAGAAGTTCAAGATCAGACTGATCAACACGGTGAAACCCCGTCTCTCCTAAAAATACAAAGTTAGCCAGGCGTGGTGGCAGGTGCCTGTAATCCCAGCTACTTGGGAGACTGAGGCAGGAGAATTGCTTGAACCTGGAAGGCGGAGGTTGCAGTGAGCCAATCGTGCCATTGCACTCCAGCCTAGGCAACAAGAGTGAAACTCTGTCTCAAAAAAGAAAAGAAAAGAAAAGAAATGAAAAAAACCAAGTACTCCATGTTCCCACTCATGAGTGGGAGCTAAACACTGAGTACACATGGACACAAAGAAGGGAACAATAGACACTGGGGGCTACTTGACGGTGGAAGGCTGGAGGAGGAGGAGGATTGAAAAACTACCTACTGGCTGGGTGTGGTGGCTCACGCCTGTAATCCCAGCACTTTGGGAGGCCAAGGCGGGTGGAACACTTGAGGTCAGGGGTTCCAGACCAGCCTGACCAATATGGCAAAACCCCATCTCTACTAAAAATACAAATATTAGCTGGGTGTGGTGTGTGCCTGTAATCCCAGCTACTCGGGAGGCTGAGGCATGAGACTCACTGGAACCGGGGAGGCGGAAGTTGCAGTGAGCTGAGATCGTGCCACTGCACTCCAGCCTGGGTGACAGAGTGAGACTCCATCTCAAAAAAAAAAAAATAAGTAAGTAAATATACCGAAGAGCCAGTGTTTCCTGGAAAGTTGTTTACTGGAGTGATCAGTGAAGGAGGACTCCACTGACCTGGGCTTATTGATCAGGGAGGAAGGAGCTTCAGGGACTGAAGGGGCGCAGGAATGAGCAGCCTGGTGTGTGAGGAGTCAGGAAGTTGTCCAGGGCTGTCCCGAACCTGCTTGGTAGTGCTACGTTGCAGTTTTAGGAATTTAGAAGGGGACATGGTAGTCACTGGGGATAAGTGGCTAAGATTGGAAAAGTGGGTCTGGCTGGCCCTAAGTCCGGTAGAAACTCCAAGCTGTGGTTTGCCAGAGACGGGGGAAGTCTGCCTAGGTATTCCAGAGGACGATGACGGTGAAGATGGAGGAAGCCATGAAGAGCAGGTAGAGGCGGAAGAGCAGGGCGTCCATCACATGGCTGAACTGCACCCACAGCTCCACTAGCTGGGTCTTTGTCCGTCCTGAGCCCCCATCTAGCTCGGTCTCTCCGGGTCTCACCTCCTTCCCTAACTCCCCCGGCTCCTTTGGGCCTGTGGAGAGGACAGAGACTCAGTCATGAAGTGGGAAGGCGACAGGATTAGAGAAGCGTGGGGCCAGTGAGAAGGGCGAGTACGGGCAGTGCTGACTTCCCTCACCGGGCAGGTGGGTGGGGGTGAGACCCAGGCCCTCATTTTCCTTCTGGGGCGCAGTGGGACAGCATCTCCCTGGGCTGGTGCAGGGCAGCAGCAGGGAGTGGAGCCACCGAGGCATGGGTGGGGGCTGGGTGGTGGCCACGTGCAGCAGGTAGGTGATGAAGACAGTTTCCAGAAGGCTGAGCACCATCAGGGACAGGCACAGCGCGAAGTAGACACCTGAGGGCAGAGCAAATTATACATAAACCAGGCAAATGTATCTCTTTCCTTTTTTAACTTGTCCCCCGGTCGGTTACAGGCAAATGTATCTCTCTCTCTCTCTCTTTTTAAATTGTCCGATGGTCAGTTACAGACAAATTTATCTCTCTCCTTTTTTTTTTGAGATGGAGTTTCGCTCTTGTTACCCAGGCTGGAGTGCAATGGCGCGATCTCGGCTCACTGCAACCTCCGCCTCCTGGGTTCAGGCAATTCTCCTGCCTCAGCCTCCTGAGTTGCTGGGATTACAGGCACGCGCCACCATGCCCAGCTAATTTTTGTATTTTTAGTAGAGACGGGGTTTCACCATGTTGACCAGGATGGTCTCGATCTCCTGACCTCTTGATCCACCCATCTTGGCCTCCCAAAGTGCTGGTATTACAGGCGTGAGCCACCGTGCCCGGCCCTCTCTCTCCTTTTTTAAATCGTCGGGCGGTCAGTTACAGGCAAATGTATCTCTAAGCATTTCTCACTCCTCTTTCCCAAATCCAGTCTTCCTTCACAGCCCCTTCCTTCCTTCAGCAGAGAACCAGCCAGTTCTCCTGGCCCTCCTCTCTGACCCGGAATGCCTTTTCTCCTCCCCAGAGCTCCCAGTATGGGAGGGGCCATACTGATGAGGGGGGTGCCGCTGGCAGGGAGCAAGTCATTCATCATGAGCAGGAAGACATTATAGCCCAGCAGGAGCGTTATCTTGAATGGGGCACGACTCTCGCTCTCTGCCGGCAGGTAGAAGCTGAGGGCGTCAATGGCAATCAGGAAGCTACTGGGCACCAGCAGGTTTATGATGTAGAGGCTGGGCCTGCGCCTGATGGCCACCTGGAGAGAGAGCAGAGATGGCAAATAAACAGCCGGCAGCAGGCTGAATTTGTATATCTGACAACAAATCAGAGGTCCCTATGTAGATGAGCACAATTAAATGCACCAGTGCTACAGCGGGTGAATGAGGAGCAGGTGAATGGGGAGCAGGTGAATGGGTGTAGGGGAGGTCTTGGGGATTCTGCTTCAGGGTAGTCAGGTAGAGGGGGCATTGGGGAGCGGGTGCCCAACCCTCTGGAGCTGCTGCTTCTTTTTTTGGTGGGGGCGGGGAGGACGGAGTCTCACTCTGTCTTGCCCAGCCTGGAGTGCAATGGCACAATCTTGGCTCATTGCAGTCTCTGCCTCCCAGGTTCAAGCCATTCTCCTGCCTCCACTTCCCAAGTAGCTAGGACTACAGGTGTGTGCCACCAAACCCAGCTAATTTTTGTATTTTTAGTAGAGACAGGGCTTCTCCATGTTGGCCAGGCTGGTCTTGAACTCCTGACCTCAGGTGATCCACCGGCCTCGGCCTCCCAAAGTGCTGGGATTACAGGTGTGAGCCACTGCACCTGGCCTGGAGCTGCTTTTTCACTTCCCAGAGAGCCTTAGGTCAAGAGGGCAATCACAGAGCTACTGGGATCAGAAGTCAAACACGGACCCTGGACTCACATAGAACATGATCTGGTCATAGAGGTTGCTGCCCACAGACATTTTTGGGGTGGCCTTGTTGATGCCCAGGAGCTCCCACTCCCCCTGGGTTCGGATGACGTTGCGAGACGTGTCTGTGATCTCCCACACCTCCTTGTCCATGCCCAGCAGCATGCTGTCCACTGGAATGGAGGCCAGTCAGTTTGTGGCAGACATGTTCCCAAGCCCCCCACCCACGAAACTGGATTCCTCCCCAACTGAGCTTCTAAAACAAATTTTCCTCTGTCCTTTGAAAGCAGGGTATTCTGGTTTTCTCAGACGTGGGTTACCGGAATAGCCATTCACATGTGTGTGGGTGGCAGCATTGATTTCTTTTGTTGTTGAAAACCAGTGTGGGTCAAGGTTGTTAAGGGAATATTGGTTATGACTCAAACGTGAGTCAAGAACTTTTGGAGTCATTCCTAGTTTCCTTCTCAGCCCCCACGTGTGTGGTGGTGTTTTCGTGGGATCAAGCTTGAGTAGCTCAGTCCATTTTGATGGTTTTAATCTATTCAAATCTGCCACACGACACCTGGTGGCACACAGTGTTAGCCATTAGAGTTAAAAGAATTGAGCTAAAAATTATGGGTGTGCTGCAGCTCAGAGTCAGCTGGGCCTCACTGGGCACGAGGGCCACCCAGCTTGTAAAGCAGCTGTTCTGAACCCTGGCTGCATGTAGCATCACCTGGGCCCACCTGGAACAATTTAATTGGGATTGGGGGGGGTGTGCAGTTATCAGGTTTTGGTTTTTGTTTTAAAAACAGCGTCTCTGCTGGGCAAAGTGGCTCATGCCTGTCATCCCAGCACTTTGGGAGGCTGAGGTGGGTGGATCATGAGGTCAGGAGTTCGAGACCAGCCTAGCCAACACAGTGAAACCCTGTCTCTACTAAAAATACAAAAATTAGCTGGGCGTGGTGGCGGGCATCTGTAATCCCAGCGACTCGTGAGGCTGAGGCAGGAGAATGGCTTGAACCCGAGAGGCAGAGGTTGCAGTGAGCTGAGATTGCACCACTGCACTCCAGTCTGGGCAACAGAGCTAGACTCTGTTCACAAAAAACAAACAAACAAACAAAAAACAACCAAAAAAACAGTGTCACTCTGTCACCCAGGCTGGAATGCAGTGCGTAATCATGGCTCACTGCAGCCTCAGCCTCTCTGGCTCAAACCATCCTCCTGCCTCAGCCTCTCGAGTAGCTGGGGCTAATTCTTTTTATATTTTGGGGAGATGGGGGTCTTACTATGTTGCCCAGACTGGTCTCAAACTCCTGGGAATGAGCATTCCTTCCACCTTTGCTTCTCAAAGTGCTGGGATTACAGTGTGAGCCTGGCCAGTTACTGGCATTTCCAGAAAGCTCTGTGAGGCCACCAGAGGGGAGCAGCACTGACCCAAAACCTTTCCTACAATACTGATGCTGTTCGAATGTCTTTCTCCAAATCTTAAGCAGCTACCAAATGGTGTCCCACTTACCAGTGTAGAGGAAAGAGCTGAAGGTGAAGGTGCAGTTCTGCTGGTCAAAAGGGAAGTAGAAGATGTCCAGGTTACAGATGCTGGTCACCCTCATCGGCTTATCGTACTTTATTCGGCCTTCACTGCTAACATAGGCGGTGAGACCCGAAGGCGTCTGATCCACATCCATGCTGTTTGGGGAAGGGAAGGCAGAGATGGAGGCTTCACCAGCTCTTGTCTCCCTTCCTTCCCAGGTCTCCCCTGCTGTGCTCTCCTCTGGGCTTTCTCTTTTTTACTTTTTTTTTTTTTTTGAGATGCAGTTTCAATCTGGTTGCCCAGGATGGAGTGCAATGGCACAATCTTGGCTCACTGCAACCTCAGCCTTCCAGGTTCAAGCGATTCTCCTGCCTCAGCCTCCCAAGTAGACACGTACCACCATGCCCCGCTAATGTTATATTTTTAGTACAGATGGCGTTTCACCATGTTGGCCAGGCTGGTCTTGAACTCCTGACCTTGTGATCTGCCTGCCTCAACCTCCCAAAGTGCTTCTGGGATTACAGGCATGAGCCACTGTACCCCGCCCTGGGCTCTTTCTTTAATGTCACTCTCTCACCTCTTCCACCTGTAATGTTTTGTGGAAGTCGGTTCATTGAGACTGTGTGCCTGTCTGAATCTTTTGCCCTGTGCTGACCCTAGGCTGTTTTCGGCAGGTGAGGTTTCACACTGGCTTCCCCGGCCCAGATACGCACGATTCCACAATGAAGATGTCTGGGAGCCACAGGTTTTCAGCTGACACCGTGAGTTTATTGATGCCAACACACTCTTCCGGGTTCCAGGTGATGAAAGGATTGTCCCACACCTGCGCCAGGGCAGTGAGGGACAGAGGTGAGTGACGGTGAGCTTGTCCTGTCAGTCTCTCTCACCCTTTCTGTTCTTCTTTAGACCTTGATCCCCCCACTCCCATTTGTGACCATAATGACCATAGCCTATTCCCCCATTCTTTATTTAACAAGGTGTCACCAGAAAAGCACCCCTTGACAGCCTTGTGCCAGGAATATCTTAAATATGGCCTAAAACCACTTGGAGCTAGGACCACACCAATATATTGGCCTGGAACCACTTAGCCATTTGTTTTTTTATTTTAAGTTGCTGTTTCTACCTTCCAAAGATGCCCAGGGAGGTTTGGGTCCCCATGGTGAGTCCAGTTCTACAGGGAGTTATTTTGTCCTAGAAAGAGTTATGCTTTGGGTAGAGGTTTGAATTAGAAAATCTCTAAGTAACTTTTTTTTTTTTTTTTTTTTTTTTGAGATGGAGTTTTGCTCTTGTCACCCGGGCTGGAGTGCAGTGGCATGCTCTCAGCTCCCTGCAGCTCTGCCTCCCTGGTTCAAGTGAGTCTCTTACTTCAGCCTCCTCGGTAGCTGGGATTACAGGGGACTTCATGTTTTTAGTAGAGATGGGGTTTCACTATATTGGCCAGGCTGGTCTCGAACTCCGGACCTCAGGTGATCCACCCGCCTCTGCCTCCCAAAGTGCTGGGAGTACAGGTGTGAGCCACCACTCCTGGCCCCTTTAAGTCACTTTTAACTCCTCAGGCTTAAAATGACAAATGAAGTGGGGAGGGGATAGTTGAATCTGCCTTACCAAATCCATCCACAGGAATGAGGTCAGCAGCTGGAGCTGTGCGTCCTGACAAAGAAATTTCCGCCCAGAATCATTAGTGTAAAAAGTTTTGGCCCACACCCACCTCATATTCCCACCAATATTTACTAATTTATTGGGCCAGGCATTGTTGTAGATGCTGAATCATCCTTTCCTCACGTGTTTCCCCTGTGTCTACGGGCAATTCTGATTTTAATTCATATACAGACTACTTTTTTCTAGAGCATTCTAGAAATGATAGGATTCAAAAACAAACGGCTTCCTGAAAAAAAAAAAAAATCACTACAGTATTCTTCTTTGTGGTTCTCCATTGCATAGGAAAACCATCTAATTTGTGTTAAATCCATCCAGGGTACCTAACGTCACCACTGGGCCGGGGCCATGCTGGGTGACTGGGCAGAGGGCCCTCATTCCTTATCAGAAGGCATGGAAAGGATGCAGGGACCAGGTCTTACCACTTCCAGGATGGCAGACAGGGTGAAGGAGATGTTGACACGGGTGGGGACGCTGTAGTTGGTGACTGGACGGAAGGCCTTTCTGTCAAACACTGCTTGGAAGGCAGCGGGGTCCACCCCATGCTGGTCAAAGCCTGAGCAATTGATGGTGAAAGAGTCGCCTCTTCCTGTAGAGAACAGAGACCCTGTGAGGGACGTACTCTATTTCCAGGGCTGGGGTCTCTCTGCAGAGAGAAAAAAAAGGGGGGCATACTGGGAGGAGCAGGTGAGCCCTTCCTTCCCAGGCCAAGACTCCCCAAGGCCATGATGGGGAGGACAGGCTGGGCTGCTAGGCAAATGGTGGAAGTCGATGTGGTGAGCTGAGCCCGGACTCTATTCCCGTTCCCATTGTTTCATCCTCATGCAAAGTTTGCCCAAATCCACAGGAAAACTTGGCCTTAGTGCGATGACAGCCACTCCCAGGAGTCCTTTAATGTCCCCGTCACAAGCCTCTTGGCTCACCTAGCCATAGAACTGCCTGAAACTTGTGGTCCAGGTGACCTAGAAATTGATGCTAATGTATTTGTCTCTCTAACTCTCAGGGCCTTAGGTCTACTGAAGGCAAAAACTGATTTATCAAGAGGATAAGAGACGTTTCACACAACTGCGAGTACTAGGTCCCTGTGCGAAGCGCGCAGTAGGTGTCTCAATGGGTGCTGACCTCGGTGCTATGCATTTATTTTGCCTTCTCAGATTTAGTGACCTCAGTTATCTCGTGGGTTATTTCCAGCATCGGGATCATGAGGTGACATCACTGAGCATTTAGCATTTGACCAGTTACAAAGTGAGGCCCGTGCAAACGCCGTCTCTTGGCTATCGCCAGGGAGCCATCTGGGTAGGACCTGAGTGGCATCTTTGCCCCATTGCGCATTTTATGTGGTCTTTTTCTCTGCCTCTTTCTCGTTATCTCCATCTCTTTCCATAATATTTAAGGTATGTGCCCCAACTGGGAACACACATTACCTTATGGAAGAAGAATGTCCACTCATTTCCACCTCAGATTGTCACCACCCTCAGGGCGTGTTACAGATCAGCCGCTGGCCGGGCACAGTGGCTCACGCCTGTAATCCCAGCACTTTGGGAGGCCGAGGTAGGCAGATCACGAGGTCAGGAGTTTGAGACCAGCCTGACCAACATCGTGAAACCCTGTGTCTACTAAAAATACAAAAATTAGTTGGGCGTGGTGGCACATGCCTGTAGTCCCAGGTACTAGGGAGGCTGAGGCAGGAGAATTGCTTGAACCTGGGAGGTGGAGGTTGTAGTGAGTTGAGATTGTGCCACTGCACTCCAGCCTGGGTGATGGAATGAGGCTCCTTAAAAAAAAAAAAAAAAAAAAAAAAGTAGCTACTCTTCTCAGAGATACCATATCAAGAGAAACAGAGACAAGGAGAGGGCAAGAGGGATATAGGGGGAGAGGCACCAGAAGTCGGTGAAAAGACGGAGTTAGAGAAGCAGTGAAATGTTTGACAGATCCCTGTGCAGGCAAGAGTAGAGAAGGTCTGTGTGTACTCATCAGTGAAATGTCTTTCTATCCATCACCAAAAGGAAATCAGGACACAGACATTATGGAAGAAATAATTTAACACCTCAATTCTGAGTGGCCTCCGAGTGCTGGAGGTGAGTCCGGGTGTCCCCAGAACCACACTCTGGTCTTCCCTGTTCTTGTCCCATCTTACCTTGAAGCAGAAGACTGACAGTTAAACAGAGGAGGACACCCCCCCTTGCAGGCCACCTTCCTTCCATTCGTCCTTCTGGACTCTTCTCTGGGGACTCACCGGGAGTCCCCAAACCCTTGAGCTTAAAGGAGCTCAGACCACACCTTGGTTGCTGGTTTTGAATACTATTCATGGCAAGTGACCACTCCCTGTGAGAGTCTGTGGCCAGAGAGGTCCCAGCCACGTGTCCTGCCTTGGCTCTGCCCAGGCGTACCTTCCGGGCTCCAGGCAGGCAGGAAACTGGGCCGATGCTGCGGGAGAAGCATTCTATTTGGCAGCTGTGTGCTGAGATCCCAAACAAAATAAAGTGCCTTAATGAGAGCGTGCAGGCTGGGGAAATGAGGGTTGTGTGCTTCCATGACCAGGGAATCTGCAGATTTGGAAGGGTGGCAATGCTTAGTGATTCGGTTGTGAACACCAAAGTAGCTTTTGTTGATACTGGAATTATTCCAAATACCAGATTATAAAGCTTGGTTCATACCTTCATCATCTAGTGTCTATAGTTTTCCAGTAGCTCCTAACTAGATTTCCTCTATTTTTTTTTTTTTTTTTTTTTTGAGAAAGAGTTTCACTCTTGTTGCCCAGGCTGAAGTGCAATGGAGCGATCTCAGCTCACTGCAACCTCCACCTCCCAGGTTCAAGCATTCTCCCACCTCAGCCTCCCCCAAGTAGCTAGGATGACGGGCATGTGCCACCACACCCTGCTAATTGTATTTTTAGTAGACACAGGGTTTCACCATGTTGGCCAGGCTGGTTTCGAACTCCTGACCTCAGGTGATCCTCCCGCCTCGACTTCCCAAAGTACTGGGATTACAGGTGTGAGCCACTGCACATGGCCAACCAATTTTGTTGTTGTTGTTGTTGTTGAGACAGTGTCTTGCTCTGTTGCCCAGGCTGGAGTGCAGTGGAGCGATCTCAGCTCACTGCAGCCTGTGCCTCCTGGATTCAAGCGATTCTCCTGCCTCAGCTTCCTGAGTAGCTGGGATTATAGGCGCCCACTACTACACCCGACTAATTTGTTTTTAATTTTTAGTAGAGACACAGTTTCACCATGTTGGCCAGGCTGGTCTTGAATTACAATCTCAGGTGATCCACCCGCCTCGGCCCCCAAAGTGCTGGGATTACAGGTGTGAGCCACCACGCCCAGCCTGGCTGATCAATTCTTAAAGATTCAGCTCAGCTCATGTCTGGTCTTCTGTGAAGCCCTCCTCTTGCATGCACATGCATGTCGGCACCTGCTGAACTCCATCATGACCCCTACACTGGAAACACCTGTCTGCATGTGCACCTCCCCTACTGCTCCGTTACGTCTTGGAGAGCAGAAATCACATCTTCTTCTTCCTTGTACCCCTGTTTGTGGCATATAATAGTAGGTAGCCAATGTTTGTTAAATGCCTGAACTGCCAGTTCACTATGCATGGGGGCAGGAGGACACAGACGCCTTGGGAGGATGTAAGAGAGGTGCTTGGGAGCCGCATGGGGGTACTGAGGCCAGATCAGAGAAGTTAGCTGCTGTTTCCGTGGTGTGGCTGGGGTGTGGGCCTGTGTCTTGGGTGCAGTCTGGTGGATATGGCAGTGGGTAGAAGCACCGTGGTCTGCAGAAGGTGGGATCCAGAAGGCTGGAGACAGGGCCTAGCCTTTTATTTTATTTTTATTTAAAAAAATTTTTTTGACAGAATCTTGTTCTGTCGCCCAGGCTGGAGTGAAGTGGTATGATCTCAGCTCACTAAAACCTCTGCCTCCCAGGTTCAAGCGATTCTCCTGCCTCAGCTTCCCAAGTAGCTGAGATTACAGGTGCCCGCCACCACGCCCTGCTGATTTTTTTTTTTTTTTTTTTTTTTTTTAAGTGACCGGGTTTTGCCATGTTGGCCAGGCTGGTCTTGAACTCCTGACCTCAGGTGATCCACCCAGCTCAGTCTCCCAAAGTGCTGGGACTACAGGCATGAGCTACCATGCCCAGCATCAGCCTTTTATTTCTGAATACTTCTCTACCCTTCCAGAAAAGGCCAGGCTCAGAATGGTCTGCCATTTATTGAGTTGGTGCCAAGTGTCCTATACTGTGCAAAGCGCTTTCCTTACAGTGTTTGTATCCTCATGACTGCTTTCAGACCTCAGTATTAGTACAGAATTCAATTTTACAGATTGGAAAACTGAGATTGGGTGCAGTGGTTCACACTGGTAATCCTAGCACTTTGGGAGGCCGGGAGTTTGACACCAACCTGGGCCATATAGTGAGACCCCATTTCTACATATGCCTGTAGTCCCAGTTACCTGGGAGGCTGAGACGGGAGGATCACTTGAGCCTAGGAGTTCAAGGCTGCAGTGAGCCACGATTGCACCACCGTACTCCAGCAAGACCCTGTCTTAGAAAAGAAAGAAAGTGGCTGGGCAGGGTGGCTCACACCTGTAATCCCAGCACTTTGGGAGGCTGAGGCAGGTGGATTGCTTGAGCTCAGAGATTCGAGGCTAGCCTGGGTGACGTGGTGACACTCCATCTCGACAAAGAATACAAAATTTAGCCAGGTGTGGTGGCACGTGCCTGTAATCCCAGCTACTTGGGAGGTTAAGGTAGAGGTTGCAGTGAGCTGAGATCACACCACTGGCCTCCAGCCTGGGTGACTGAGTGAGACATTATCAAAAGAGAAAAGAAAGGCAAGGAAAGGGAGGGGAGGAGAGGGGCAGAGAGGGGAGGGGAAGACAGGAAAATGGAGGTGCGGAGAGGTCCAAAATCTTGCTCAGGCCACGCATGGTGGCTCATGCCTGTAATCCCAACACTTTGGGAGGCCAAGGTGGGCGAATCACCTGAGGTGAGGGGTTCAAGACCAGCCTGGCCAACATGGTGAAACCCCATCTGTACTAAAAATATGAAAATTAGCTGAGGCTGAGGCAGGAGAATAGCTTGAACCCAGGAGGCGGAGGTTGCATTGAGCTGGGATCACGCCACCACACTCTAGCCTGGGTGACAGAGTGAGACTCTGCCTCAAAAACAACACGAAAAAAAACAAAACAAAACGAAAAAAACTTGCTCTGTGTCCACTCAGGTGGAAGTTGGTAGAATCCAGATTCAGAGCCAGATGGATCTGATTCTACTGCTCTTTCTCTGCTCTTTTTATATTCCATAGCTGAGAATCTTGTTGACCAGTTCATCACATCCCTGGGTTTTCACCTGTGAAATCTCTGGGCCTGGAGAGTGCTTGGATCCAAAGGTAAATACTAGGGACAGCGGGTGTCGTTTTGCAAATCACAGGCACCAATATCTATTTCTTCAGCTTATTCCAAGAGGACCGCACTGCATGGCCCCTGGTTGGCCCGTTCATCTGGGACTCTGGGAGATCAGGTTTGGAGAATAGATGTTACCTGGCAAGGGCAGAATTCGATGGTGGAAGGAGGCTGTGAGGGCCACCATTCTGCATCCCGGATGGGTGGTAACCACATGCAGAGGCCATTGGCCAGGGCTAGGGAGCTGGGAGAGCAGGAGGCAGAAAAGGCACCCAGACAGCCAGCTGGGTCCGCAGCTGAGGTTAGGCTGCTCGGGTGCCTGGGAGTGGCAGAGTGGGGGCACCCTGGGCCTCCTGGGCCACGCCTGGGCAAAAAGGCTCATGGACAAGCCTTCACCTGCGGCTGCCACTTTCACAGGCCCCGGCTCTTGTCCTGGCACTGTTGAATGATGACAACCCCACACCTGTCACTTCACTTCTCTCCGCTTCATTTTTCCCATCTGAAAACTGAGGGGGTTGAGCTGGAAGTCTGAATTCTTTCTGTCTCTTGCCTCCCACCTAGAAGTCTGTTTTCGCTTCAGATTTCAGCCTGCCTGAAAAATGGATGCTTTCTAGCGTTTCACATTCAGTTCTGCAGCTTCTATCAACTTATTAATTATTTGTCAATAGAATATATTTGAGACATAATTTAATCTGTGTTATTAGCTCCACTTCACGAATGAAAAAAATTTAAATTTATAAGGTTAAGCCACTTAGCCAATATGACCCAACTAGCAAGTAATGGCATCAGATCAGAAACCCAGGACTGTCCGACGCCTGATTTCTCTCTACTGTACTTTTGGGTTTTTTTCTGCTGTATAAAAGAACCAGCGCCTAAGAACTGTCAAATAAGTGAGGTTATCAAAGAGAGAATCAGAAATAGAAGAGGAGAAAAAGGACAGCCTTGAAATAATGCCTGCGACTTCACATCCTAGAGCAGACCTGGAGGGAGGGGCAGGGGGCAAAGACGAAGGAGATAAATATTCTAGTGTGACGTTCATATGGAATCAAAAGAAAATAGATCAGGCTGGAGTGCAATGGCGCCACCTTGGCTCACTGCAACCTCTGCCTCCCGGGTTCAAGTGATTCTCCTGCCTCAACCTCCCAAGTAGCTAGGATTACAGGCACCTGCCACCATGACTGGCTAATTTTTGTATTTTTAGTAGAGACGGGGTTTCACCATGTTGGTCGGGCTGGTCTCGAACTCCTGACCTTGGGTGATCTGCCCACCTTGGCTCCCAAAGTACTGGGATTACAGATGTGAGCCACCGAGCCCATCTTTTTTTTTTTTTTTTTTTTCTGTGAAACAGGGTCCTACTCTGTCACCCAGGCTGGAGTGCAGTGGCAGGATCTTGACTCACTGCAGTCTCAATATCCCAGGCTCAAGAGATCCTCCCACCTCAACCTCTCAATTAGCTGGGACTCCAGCATGCCACCATGTCCTGACTAATTTTTTGTGTTTTTTGTAGAGATGGGGTTATCCTGTTTCCCAGGCAGGTCCCGACCTCCTGAGCTCAAGGGATCCACCTGCCTTGGCCTTTCAAAGTGCTGGGATTACAGGCTTGAGCCACCATGCCTGGCCAAAATACTGCTTATAATGGTTTAGAGAATGAGAAAGTGGGCCTGGCGTGGTGGCTCATGCCTGTAATCTCAGCACTTTGGGAGGCTGAGGAGGGTGGATCACTTGAGGTCAGGAGTTCAAGATCAACCTGGCCAACATGGTGAAACCCGATCTTTAGTAAAAATACAAAAAAAAAAAAAAAAAAAAATTAGCTAGGTGTAGTGGCAGGTGCCTATA